GCAGCGCTGATATTCGAACAATCTTCACTCGCGACGACAAACATTGGGTCTGCAAACCTTGCAGGGATGCCGGTGAACTTGAAAGCAAGTACACGTTTCGCGGAGGTATCTCTACACTACGCACGCACATTTGTCGGTATGTTCATGTCTTCTTTCTCTTGAATGATCACTAATATTATATATCTATCAGTAATAAAGGCCATTTTCAACTTTACAAGTCATGCTGCGAAGCCGCAAACATCACCATGCACCCTCGAGCGGTTCCAACTGGTGAGGTTCAATCCCTGTGAGTTACATTTGCCGTATTGTAGTGTGTTGTACTGATTCATAGATAGTTCAAGGCAATCCACCCTCGATGGCAGCCTTGCCCCGAAAGCACCCATGTTTACCAAGGCAGGGCTTCTGGAGTATATTATGGAGTTGATTGTGACCGAGGACGAGGCATTGCAACTCGTCGACAAACCAGCCTTCCGCAACTTGCTTCGTTATGTCCGCCCTGCCCTTGCTGAAAGTGACGTGCCACACCGCACGAAACTTACGGAGACTGTTAAGGCCCGCGCAGTGCAGGTGGTCAACGTCATTCGTGAGCGTCTCGCAAAGGTAGACAGTCAAGTCTCGATGACCTTCGATTCATGGACGTCAATCATCGGCGACCCTTTCTTCTCCATCACAGGCCACTATATCTGGAGCCCGGATGACAAACCCCAGCAATGGGAGTTACGCCGCGAGCAACTCAGTTTTGCGCACATCCAGGGCAATCATAGTGGTCAGAATACGGCTCGCTTGATTGTTGATACCATTGACAAATATGAACTACGAAATAAGGTAAAGTTTAGTCTACTACTTTGCTGCGCTGAATCTAATCAGTGTGTTGTAGGTCGGATGGATGACCTCTGACAATGCCACCAATAATGATACCGCCATGAAAGCAGTTGGACAAGAAATCGATCCTGAGGGTACGCGGTGGGCACCTGATGCGCGCCGCATCAGGTGCCAAGAACATATACTTAATCTTGCAGCACGCCACTTCGTTGACGCCGTCGCCCCCACACCTCAAGCTGCTCTCATGAAGAAAATTCGACAAGCGCTTGATAATGGCAATGACGCTGACCTCGACACCTTAAATAAACAGCTTTCTTCCATGGACGTCAGTAACGACGACAACAACAACAACACCTTATTCGATACCGGCGATTCACTTGGCAAAGCTCTTGCCCTCATTGAGCAGGTACGTGCTATATTTTTTAGACTATTCTTTTGCTGATCGAGATCCTCAGATCCGAAAGTCCCCTCAAGCTCGAGCATTTTTCCGCAAGGCTTGCAAAGAGGAAAACGTACCTGAACGAACTTGAGCTCTTGCAATGGATCCGGACTCGCTGGGCGTCGCTATATAAATGCCTGGACCGCATGTTGATCTTGCGTCAAGTGAGTTTTTTTTTCTTTCAATGTTTAAAAGTGGCCTGATTTTAATTAAATAGGCTGTAAACCGTTTCACCAACCTTGCCGACGAAAGCCACGAAGTGCCAACTCTTCGCAACAAGACTTACGACAACTTCAAGCTCGATCGAAGCGATTGGAGACACCTCGGGCTTATTCACCGAGTCCTCAAGGAACCAGCCATGGCTCAGCAATCGTTCTCGTCAGCAAAACATCTGACTGCATGGAAAACGATCCCTACGCTAGAGTGCCTCGCTGATCGATGGAGATCCATGGCAGATGACCCGCAATATCTTCCGATCACTGATGCGATTAAGGCCGGACTCAAGAATGTCGACAAATACTTCAAGAAAACAAGTCAATTGGACATTTATTTTATTTGTCTTGGTGAGTACTATCAATTTTTAAAACTCGTTCTTATCTAATATAATTTAAGTTCTTGATCCAAACTATAAGCTCGCATACGTTGAAGGCCGGTGGGATTTTGGAGATGTTGCAGATGGCAGAGCTCGTCTGGAGGCCGTGGTGAGTACTCGTCTATGTTGTTTTCCTGCTCTAATCTTTTTTTTTTTTGTAGTTCGATGACTATTATATACCGCCGAGTCGAACACCTACTACCAATGAGCAATCCGCTCCGCCAACGAGAGCTGCCAGTGTACGCAAGCACTATGGCGACGATTGGATGCGCGAGGCTATTAGGACGCGTAAGACATCAGACCACCTTACTCACAATCCTCGTCAAGAGCTCAACATGTACTTGTCTTTGCCACTAGAGGAGACTGATGACATTGTGGCCTGGTGGGGGGTAAGTTTTCTTTTTGACTTGTTTTTTCGCTACTAAATCTACTTAATAGCTTCACTCGCTGCAATACCCTACACTCGCGCGCATTGCGCGAGACTATCTACCCATTCAAGGCAGCTCCGTTCCTTCCGAACAAGCATTCTCAAGCGGAGGAATCACTTCGACTATCCGACGCAATGCACTCGCGACTGACACGTTCACTGCACTACAACTACTGAAGGGAGCATATAGGAATGGGCATCTTTCTGCAGGAGTAGAGGCTGAGGGACATGCGGCTTCATTGGACATGTAACTACGAGTACAAATATCTTGCCTATGTTTTTTTTTCCTGGCTGTAATTTTTTTGCGTTCGGTTCGCGTTCAGACCGAGAAAAAACCGAACCTGACCGCTGCGAACCGTTCGCAAAGGTTCGGTCTAAGGTTCGTTGAAATAACTAGAACCGAACCTTGGTCCGGTTTTTGGTTCTCGTCCAACCACCTCTGAACCGAACGGAACCGGACCGCGGCAGCACTAACTGGCAGGGCATCGTTATACGTACGCACAAACTTCGACTACATTGTATGTGCTCCCGTTCTTATTGTTCATTAACAACTTATCCACTATCTATTAGCGTGCCCATGCCTGGTAGAGACCATACTTGCGTCTGCCAAACGATTACGACAAGGCTATTGACCTATACTCTACGGTGATTGACCTGAATTCTACATTCGATACCTTAGCAAATCGCAGTAAGGCAAAGTTGGGGGAAATGCTATGGGAGGATGCGCTCCTCGACATGCAAAAGGTGCGATGACATCTACGATTTTATACCCCATGTTGACTTCGGCGATGCATAGGTCACTGGACTCAATCCGTCGTCTCATATTGGATACCAGTTGACACACACAGTGCTGCGTGGCGCGCAACGCTACAATGAAGCCATCGAAGCCTTCACAATCATGTTGTCGAAGTTGGACGATGCTCCCGAAGCTTAGATATGAGGTAAGCCATAGAACATTCCTGCATCGTCTCGAAACGCTTATCTCGTTCTGTAGATCTGCGTCAGCAGTACGTCTGTCCATCGGAAGCATTCAAAGAGCAGTTTGGATTGAACTCAACAATACTCCCTTCGTCTGCTCAACACCTCTACGGGCCTTTTGTGCGACCGAGCAGCATAGCTGAACCCCTTCAAAACAAATCCAGAGTACAAGGAGTTTTTGTCATTCACAACGAACCGCTCGGATCTCCAAATGGAACGCATCAAGGAAGTGGTGGCGACCAGGATCATACCTTATCGCCAAGAAGTGTAGCCAACTCGACAACTCGCATTTCTGGGATGGTTCATTCCCGGGCGTCAACACAAACACTGCTATGCTGGGCGGGTTGGATGGTTCGAAGGGCCCAAAGTTCAAGGGTACAGGACGGCGAAAAGATGCATTTTGAACCCGGTGATTGGGGCGATGGAAGTTTCGACGGGAGTGAGAGTGCACTTCTGAAGACCCTCTTAGGGGATGCTCGGGCTGCCTACTAAGTTGCATTAGTTGCGCGATGAATTGGCACCTGCCGAGTATATCCGACTGGTTTGTTTGTGATACTGATTGTGAATAATTCTTATGTTTTAACCTTCAATTGCTTACTATATATTGTATCCTCGCTTTTGTTCTGGGTCTCTTGCCTTTATTTCAGTCCGATATTTCGAGTGTTTCAACTAGTGTTTTTTGACCATGCGTACGGTATACCGTGATGCCCCTTGTACGAATCTCCTCGTGGAGATGACATCATAAGCTTTGATTACTTCAATTCGTGTTATGAATGGGATACGCGTAGCTTTGGCATCGGCGAACTGTGAAAAATAGCCTTGTAATTTACAACTTGAATTGGGAAGTGTGAGAACGTTCAACCAGGTTTACTGAGGTACCCTGCCATCTCTTCCCGGCTGTAATGGCCCAACAACAATACATTATTGCAAACTCTCCTGCGAGTACATATTTGATGAACATTGCCAAACCCACTTTCCGTGATATAGTCTTAAATACCCTTCTAACTGAAAGCTCGAATGAGGGAAATGACAATGCTCGACAAGGCGAATACACCTACACTATCATCCCTTACCGGCCATGGTGTTACAAAGTCGTGACCTTGTCTCGGAATACTAAAAGTCGTCTAGGTTCGCAGACTTACATAGCTATATAGCAATGTTACAAAAATTTTATACTATAGATGCCCATACCTAGCAGGAGCAAAATTATATCGTTCTATAAGTCCCACGGGTACAATATCGAGGACTCCTCAATTCACTGATGATATTCTGTTATTGCAGATCTGAAGGTAAGCTTGAAACAATCTTCAGCCAAACAACCACATCTAATGGCGTTGTCTCCAGGTATGCAAATCATTCCGCAAGGTTCATGGATGCATATACCAAGGGTCTTACAGGGCCACAAGCAGTTTGGGCGACGAGGAAATATCACGGACATCGAGTCATTCCGAATTCTATTTTGGAGGCTTTAGACACAGCGGGAAAGATATGATTGACTACAGCGTATATGATTTTGACAAGGCAACGGCGAAAGAAAAGATTGCAACTGGCAGATTTGGCCGTGGGAAACATGACATAAGCAATGCGGCGCAGTGGTTGAATCAAAATGTCGTCTACCTTAGTAAACGGATTCTCATTCGTATCACTATACCATCACTTACGTGACTGAAATTTGGCATATGCATGAGAATTGAGTGGTGCAGAATAATTTGGGGTCTTGTTGTGGTCTCGGTATCTGGCTATTAAATGAAAGATTTCGCTTGAAGATTCCAAATACGAGCATACTCTCCCCCTTTCTTCATGAGTTCATCATGCGTTCCTTTTTCCTGGACAGTTTCGTCGATGTACCTGCGGTGACCACGTCAGCAAGCATCGGTGTTCGACCAGACAGAAACTTACAAAATGAGGTCCGCATATCGGGTGAGATTTCCAAACCGGTGAGTGGAGAATATCATGGTCTTGTTACCCCTCAACTTCCGTAGACGCTCGAAGAGACCTATTTCCATCAGTCATGACTACATCCAAATTGGCATCTCGAAGAAATAAGAGAGCACACCATGTTCGGCCGTAGGATCCAGGGAGGCACTCGGCTCGTCGAATAACAGCATGCCAGCAGAAGACTCAGTTTCAGAGACCAACGAGCGCATGAATGTGCGGGAGCTATTTGAATAGTCCATATCGAGACCTGAGAAGTCAAGGTATGGTAACACGTACATTGCAAGCCGCTGCGCCTGCCCGCGGCTGATTTGAATGCCTGGAGCTCCGGCGGTACGGACACCGCCAATGACATTCCGTGACGAGGAGTCAACGGGATGTCCGAAAAGCGTCGTAGTACCTTCAGGAAGGTCTCCATGGTAATTATACACGGGGCAGTCGAGATAGGTATCAAATCCACGAGGGAGCTCATCGATGAAGTCTTCTGCGTCACCAAGACGGGCGGCTTCGCGAACCTTGTCATCCTCACGTGCAAGGGCGGGGTTGCCAAGCCCAATATTCTCGCGCATCTGCGTGTGCGTTAAATATATCGCTTCCGGGATGCACGAGTATGGCTTACGGAGAGGGGGAATTGCGAATAGTCTTGGAACAGGATGGACATAGCAGCACGGAGGTCAGCAAGTTTCAAGGTTTTGATGTCACGGTCATCGATAAGGATAGTGCCCTCCGTTGGGTCGTAGATGCGGGAGATCAGGTTCAAGATCGTACTCTTTCCAGAGCCGTTCACACCAACAATGACCTGCTATTGTGATTAGAGAGCACCACAAAAGTACACGAACTTACGCATAGTTGACCAGCCTCGATCTTGAACGATACGTTCCGCAGAGCACACCTGTCTCGACCAGGGTACTGGAACGAAACATCCCTGACATATATACATTAGAAAAAATTCTATGAAGTAACGAATACCAATCAACTTGAATTCGACAGAAATACCATTTGCAAGAGATTGTTGGTTCTCGGGGAACGGTTCCGTGCCATCCACAACCCGATTTCGTATGTTCTCTATCTCATAAAGATCGCGTATTCGGGCCAAGTTGGTCGCAAGAGTGGAAAACCTGCTGGATATCGAGAAATATGATGGATCAAAGGCTTGTTTGATCCATATGAGTGATGCCAAGGAGACGGGAGTGGCCATTGGATTTTTTACTACGCGCACGGAGAAGACAATCTAATTGACTTAGTCGGCTTTGTCAACTCTGAGGTCAACTCCACGTACCTGAGGTAACACATGCATTGTTTCTCGGATGATGAACGTGATGCTCAGACAGTCCTTGAAAGAACGAAATCGTTTCAGCTCTGGGAATTCAACCGCATCGTGACCGATGCGCTGAGATGCTTCGCGAAATCCTGGTCTCGATCAAGTCAGCATAAGATTGTCCGGTAAGGCGCGTCGACATACGTGCACTAATGTGTTCGCTGAAGTTGCCTGCGACAAACTCTCGACGATGTGAGGGGCCAGTAATGAGTTCCTTCAGACCTTGCATGCAAATAAAATTCTCGTTGGTCGTTGTCGCGGCCCAGACTGCGTATCTGGCTTAAACAAAGGCTTAGAAGCATCAGCTGTTGACATACCTAAGGATCCGACCACTGCTTTCCCCGTGCTGTCCCAGGGCAATAAATATTGCAAAAAACTGAGAACCACGAGAAGTAGACCATCCTGTTGTTCCCACATGACTGTACTCAGAACCAAAAGGCAAGAGAGCAGACGAAGAAGTATAATTGCGATGTCCGTCAACATCTCGATAGTGGCCCAAATTGACGAAGTATACCAATGAGCCAAGCCAATGCTGAGATCGTGCACTGCGTGCGAGGAGTGATAAAGAGTTTGAAATGCGGGCAGGTCGAGGCGGACAGCTGAGAGAAGCATGCGTTCATTGTAGAATTGTTTGATGTACAAGCTCAGACGAGGCATCATGCAGTCTCGGGAGTATTTGAGAAAGCGCATAGCAACTGCGCATATGATATGTGCTGCCGCAAAATGTACGAGCACCGTTGTGTCCACAGTACGTGCCTCCATTACGCTCTCTATCTAGTGCAAAATAAGTCGGCAGTGGTAGATGAAAGTGAAATGGACATTACAAGGCGGAGTAATTGTCCGGAGTACCTGCACAACGATGTTATGGATGTATAGGGAAGTCGCATCGTTATGACGTACCACAGAGAAACAGCGGGTATGAGGGAAGCTAAAACTTCTACTACAAGGTATGCGGGGAGAAGCATGGAGCATCGTTTGATGCTGAGTACATCCTTTAGCATGCGAACTAGAAGCGGAACACTGTAGATTATCGGGGTATATGTCTGCAATATCGACGAGACTCGTTTGCGTGCCAGTGTTTGGCGTTCCTCGTAGAGATCCCATATACCGATGCGGGTATGCTTGAAACGACGAGTGTCCTTGTGGTCGAATTCTCCTGGGTGCGCTTTCATTGGTCTCTCTCTCTCAGCGGTGAAAGAATACCAAGTGGGCTAAAGTCGGAGAACATCCGTAAGCCAACTTGAAGAGACAGGTGTCAGATAAATCCCGAACACCGTCTCGAAGCAAATCCAGTTAGATCGTACGTACGTTGGGAAAGCCAACAATATTAATATCGTCGAAGCCGCTGAATGTTGGCTGGTCTATCATGCACGCCGCAGCGTGTATGCGTAATGAACCTCACATAGGTTAGTATGAAGCAGCCGCCCCAGAGATTGGCTAAACCATCACAATAAGAACTATATAACGAACATGTGGACTTTCTGATCAAACGTTAACTTACGTATTTCAAATTACTAAGTAGGCTGGACTCCGGACGCACCGTAGCCTATTGTCCAGACGGGCTGATCACCAGTCTAGATTACGGAACCTTTACGTGGTCACGGGTCATACAATATTCCAGAATTTGCAATGTAACCTGGGCCCTGTGTACATCTCATCGGTTTTCTGATTGTCCAACGTCCATCAATCACACCATAGACATCAAGCTAAAGCAGTGCGAAAAGAATGCATAGTATTGTCTTATTACAAGAGGGTTTTTGTAGATGAAGCTAAAGATCCGGTCATGACATAATATCACCTCACTTGGCACCATCATAATTCACAATCATAGAAGTCGGCCACGGGCTCTGCAGCATCTTCTCATTCAAATACGCATAATGCAGCACCGGAATGGCCGAATCCGAGAACCGCGTGAGTTTGCCGGACTGGCCAGGCCCTCGGCGCACGTTCTCGAGCGATGCGACCGCCCGGAGGACTTCAGCCAGTATCGTGGATGCTAGTTCGTCACCTAAGACTTTGAAGCACCCGTCGTTTTGGAGGTAGCGTTCACGTGGTGTGCGGGCGGCATTTAGGACGTGGGGGCTAGGGAACGCGTCTTCCTGTTGGGTTGGGTTGTGTGAGAGGGGATTTGGCGGTTTTGGATGGTTCACTTACGTTCATGTTTGCACTGGCGATGTGTAGGAAGAGGCGTTCACCTTTCCTGACGTTCAGCGACTCGATAGATTCATCTTGCTTCGCGACGCGGTAGACACCAGCAAATGGTGGGTCGATTCCTAGTCCTCCGTCAGAAGATAAGCCATCAGCCAGAACGAAACACATACTGAGCGCCTCAGTAATGAAGGCAGTCAAACTACCAACGTCCTTGACATCCACCTTCTTATTCGCCGCGACCGTGACTTCCGAATCATACTCCTTATGAAGGAGCAGATTGACGACATTTGTCAACGCTACAGTCCCATTAGCCTCGTTCATGAACACACAAACAACTGAATGACATACCAAGGGACATCTCAACAGTAGCCCCGACCAAAAACGCCAGAATCGAGTTCACGACATGCTCTGTCGAGCAACCAAACTCAAACAAGCGCTTCACGATCTCACTATGGCACTTCTTCTTCCCAAAAAGACTGGACACCGTGCCAATCAACCCAGCAAACGGCAACTTGCTCCCAGCACTCCCAAGAGCAGTCTTGATCAGATGTGTCAGCTCCTGTACGTGCTCCCTCACCCTCTGCCTTATCGGCATATAGTACGCTAGCTCCACTTCAAGGAAGATGAATCTTAAACACACAAATTATCAGCGATCATTAGGGAAACGAAAAGGGCATGCAAGACTAACTGGTAAATCTCTCCAAGCATGTCAAACAACTGAGACTCGGTGTATACACCATGAGGATGCTGTTTCGTCTTGAGCGGGATACCAGCCTGCAATACGATCGCAAATCAAAACAGGTCAACACCCCGCATCGTCCTCTAAAATTAATAGACGCACAATTTCCGTAGCAGCCCAATGCAACGGCACATACTTCAACACATCCCTCACGATGTTAACACCACGCGTGTTCGACCCGATCAATGTGAACGAATGCAGCTCGATGAGCTCCTTCGTCTTGTTGTTGAAGTACGTCCCGATCGCACTGATCGCTTCTGGGGAGGGAGCGAGTGCTCCAATGAACTGCTTGTGCTCTTCAACGCCGTCTGCAGATGCCGTAAAGAACCTATTTATCCTATCCTGTTAGTGCTGATCCAAACCCAAGCGGGAATGTGTACACACCCTTTGCCCTTCAGGACCTCTGCTGCGCGTTCGACGTACTCGGGTACGTATTTATCAGTGCTTCGCAGTACCTGGCCAACCTCCACGTAACCATGAACAGTGGTAGCAGGCTCGCTCGGCTTCGGCCTCCCAGCATCATACCCATCAATCTTGCCAAGGTTCTTCAAATAACCCTCCATCGCATCGGGGTGAACGAGAGGGAACCAAGTGTAGACACTGTCTTTGCTGTAATGGTTGGGTAGCGTGCGCAGGAAAAGACGGCCGAGAGTGGACCCGAACCCATATGCGTCAGGGTCGCGCTGGCAATCAGCGAAACCCCATGCAGTCAAGTTGTAAGGCGTGAAGTCCTGCGTGTAGAAGCGGTCACCACGCGTTAGGGCAAATGCATCGGAGAGAATGGCACGGGAGATGGTGTACCCTGTGAGACGTAAGTATTCACGAATATAGGTTGATTGAAAGGGTCTTGCCTGGGCAGAGACCTGCGCCCTCAATGAGAGGCTTGGTCTCCTCGGCTTGGAGACCAACGTACAACTCCAAGTTGTCGATGTGACCATAGAGCTTCTCGGCGGCGTCAGCAACGTCGTGGCAGGGGTTCCATTCCCGGAAACTAGTGTACGCTGTAATACACTAAGCAACCTTAAGAGATTTCGGGACAACGCCACTCACTCTTCAAGCCAAGGAACTTCCTAAAGTCATTGAGTGAGCAAACGCCCCATGCCCGGTTAGCCTCGATACCCATGATCTCGTGGAGACGCATGACTGCAGGTGTGCTACGAGCACCAAAGCTAGAAGCACGATGGGAGGTCCTGAGATAATACGTCAATACTAGTGCAAGATCAGATAAGATGGTCACTGACGCGCCCTGCAGTAAATTCGCAAGATCAGAATCCTTGAACGCTCCCTTGTTAGGACCTTCTGTCTCGCGCTTAAGGCTGCATGGGAATGTGAGGAGTAGGACCAGCTGTAGGTTTCAAGATCACTCACGTATCGAATGTCCATTCCTGAAGATCTGGCTCGCTCTTGAAGAGGCTGGCTTCTTTCGTATAAAAGTCCCTCAACGTGATATCCTCAACGTTCTTGCCAGGGAACAGCGCCCCTAGCTGGCCACTGATCCACTGCTCGTCCTCAACTGAGGTGGTGGCGTGCCATCTGTACAAACAGTTGAATTCGACACTGCAAGCATTACCACGGCCACGCTCGAAGACCGAGTGATCTTCATTACGAATTTCATCAAACGGCTCCAAACTCCAGCTGGACCCTTTTCGGACAAGGCCAAGAATAGCCGAGAAGTAATCAGAAAAGACGACGGCTGCGAACCATGCACAGTTGCATAGACGGGCGATCTGGAATATCTCTTCGTCTTGCTTGTTGAGTTGTGCATGACTGAGATGACGATGGTGAGAAGGGTCTTTCCAGGTACCGCGTTCATTGATTTCGAGTAAACGACGTGCAATGTACTGGATCGAATAGGTTGAGTTAATGATCGTGAGAATGTGGGGAACATACGTTGTGATTTCTGCTGAACAAGACCAAGAGGACACAAACTGCAGGAGGAAGGAAAAGGAGACGATCTTCTGCGAATACATCTGGGTGAAGTAAACCGCGGCCGTCCTTGTTCCTGACCTAAAATAGATGACATAAGGTTTAGATGGATGTGGGTTAAAGTGGAACTAACCTTGTCCTGAGTTTCTTGGTCGTTTCCGTACAAGGGTGCAAGATCAACGTAACCCGACGTCATGTTTATGTGTTGCCTGCCTGGCGTATGGTCTGAGCGGAACACACTATGAATGACAAGTGCTGCAAAGGAGAACATGAGGGCGGATAGACCCTGGGGATGCGGGGTAAACTGGGAAAGAAAGTTTGTGAGGGATCGAGATAGATGTAGTAGGAGATATGTACCTTTTCTCTGCGTAGGAGAGTATCAAAGACGAGACCGGCATCGGGCATTTGGTTGCGTGGTAATGGGTTTGTTCCTTGAACAGACCGTGCATAAGGAGTACCTGCTTTTCCGAGGTTTGGAGCATCAGGGTTGTTACTTGAACCATCAGCAGCTCGGAACTGATACTCGGGTCCAATATAAGTAGCAGGAGGGTGTGCGAGGTCATTGTACACTATGATAGAGTTAGGGTTTGTTGGGGAGCGAAGGAATGACTGGATACTTACGGGTCTTGATGGTGAAAGTGCGAGCCATACCAGAAATCTTTCCTGAAGGGTGACTCGCCATGAATGACAATAAATGTTCCAACTTGGGAGATGATGAATGAGTAGTTGTGTGCTATTGGTGAGGAGACTTACGAGCATCTTGCGGTCATCAACTGCATCTGCATGGGTGATAGCATCAAGTGCTGCGGACTATAAGGAAAATATTAGATGGCATGGAGGGGAAGCCGAGGTAGGCGACTAACGAGGGCGGACTCGTTAATTTCTTCAAGGGGTCGTTTCATCTAAGACGAGTGAGTTGTTGGGTGGATAGCTGAAGAGGCTAACATACGAGGTCCTTGATGTGTGCCAATGCCTTGTTTGTGCCGGCGTCGCTCGACGAGGGACTGACATCAGCAAGTGTGGTCGGTAATGTTGAACCATTCTGAACAATGCGTAAGTGTGTTACTATAGACGAGAGGGTGAAAAGCTTACTGCCTGGCTCTTGGTGGAGAAGCGGCTAGAGAGGGCTCTGTTAAGGGTCATGGTGAATGAAGGCCTGGATGTTGAGACGAGCGTCTGGCATTTTATAGTCGGAGACTGGTACCGTCCGGATGAGAGTTCGTGTTTGAGCCGAATAGCGTGTGTCCGAAATAAATCATTGAGGACAAATTTGTATTGGTTCTTTACGGGATTTGATACAAGCGAAGCCGTACCGGCGATTGAAAGATACTAGTAGTAACTCATTTTAGAGCAAAA